GTGGAAACATCATAAGGTGAAGGAGAAGCTTTTGAGACTGATTCAACAGGGTGAGTCTGAACAAGTCCTCAAAACAACTCTAATTCCCTTGGCAAGGGTGGATTCCCGCACTTTACTGTCAAAGCTTTGTTTGTTTGGTAAAGCACTCTTTTGAATGTGCTCATTGGCTAACTGGTAGCTTTCTGCAAGACTCTCTCAGCTCTCCAGATCTCATTTCTTTGACCAGCTGAGCCACAGCGCCTCCTGCTGTCAGGCAAACCGGTAATACCTGGTATTACCTGGTACTGCAGAAGGAGACGAGTTCAAATTTTTGGGCACTATGAATGTTGGCATTCAGAAAATATTGCTTGAAAATTAATGCGGATTCTTAGCTTACCTCCTGGTTTCTCACCTTTAAATACTTTCAGAACCATGTAACTTGATTCTTATTTGTGTAATTATTAAAATAAGTAACTGTGACCCTCGTGTTTTACCTTCTTACAGGCTGTTTCTTTTTGTTAAGGTCAAAAGATTAAAGCATCTTTCTGATAAACTCTTAATTTAAAGCCAAACAGAGATGACAAAGCTTTTTATTCTCTCGCTTTACATTTGCAGGATAATAAATAACATCCAGGGTCAAATTTCAGTGAATAAATCTTAATTTTGGGGACTTTGCTAAACATGACAGTCTGTTCAGGTTGCAGATTCTCATCGCTGCACACAAATACGTTTTTAAAATGTTCCTTTTTACACTTAGAGCCTAGCATGAAGCTTCTCAAGATCCTCGGCGGCAGACGGCCGTATCCTGCTCTCATCCCGACCAGGACCGCTCTCGCGTCGCTTTTAAACCAGGTGTCCGTTTTACTCGAAGCACTCCAGGATTGGCTCGTGTCCCGTTTCCTTGAGGAAGCGCAGCAGGTCGTCCGGTCTGAGCCCCATGGTGGCAGCGTTGGTCATCGGGTGGAAGTAGACCATCTCGTGGCCTCCTTCCACCAGGTCCCGGTCCAAGACGAACTTCACGCTGCGATCCTGATCGAAGAGCAGAGCAAGCGCCGTCGCACAGCCCTGACCCACCTGAAGGAGAGGGGAGGAGGAGTCTAAAGCTGTGACCTGTGAATCCAGCTCAATAATTGGCCCTCCCAGTTTTGATCCTTCCTACCTTCAGCTTTTCCAACATGGCTGCCTCATCTGCGAAGCGCAGATTTCCACTCCCGACACCAAGCTTCTTGGCGAGGTCATTAAGGTTCACCTGCAGATGGAACGAGAGGAAGTGAGGTGTTAGTCTTTAGTTTTTAAGTCAGAGGTCATGTGGAGGAGCTGACCTGGCGGTCATGGCGGGCCGACACCAGCCACAGCCCCTTCTTCTTCTTGTCTTTCAAGAACAGGTTCTTGGTGACGGCGCCATTCACGCCCTGCAGGTGAGGCATCATCTCCTCCACCGTGAACACCTGCAGGAGGAGGAGAGTGGGTGAGAGCGGGCTCTTTGTGGAAGCTTTGTGGAAGCTGTATTACTAACATCAAAGCCTCTTGCAACTCTTCCTGGTTTCCTACATTAATAAAGCTGTCTGACTGTGATGCCATCCATGCCTGCAGGACTAAACCAAACTCTGTGGTCTGGCGCCCTCTGCAGGTCACAGCAGGTCCTGCAGCACAAACGTGTCAGAGCAGTTTATGAAAGCTGCAGCAGACAGGAAGTACATAAATATATGCACATAAGTCAGGCATTCAAAGTCATATCTGCTTTTTCACGGCGCGCTCGATTCTGAGCGGAGCTCTAAAGCGCCCGTCCCAACGGATCCCGTTCAAAAACACTGCGTATTTCAGGATAAACAGATTCTGCGCAAACACAGCTGACTGCGCCTAAACTTCATCACGTAATTTTAACGTGAATTCGTGTGCTCGTGAATTCAGCACACACACGGCAAGCAAAGCGGCTCTTCTTTACTTCAGCTGACAACTTTGTTACTCCCCCACGTGTCAGTGAAACTGAAAGAGCGAGAAACTGAGGAGGAAACGCGCACTTCCACAACCGTGAGCGCGCATCAGGAGACCCTATCATGGTCACGCGTGGCGCCGAATAAAAGTGCGAGTCTCTCCGATTGTGGAAATGTCTCCGAGCATATTTTCACGTATTTATATGATCTAGAGTGAGACGGGGATGTTGAAAATGCCAGAAGCGCTAATGGGATTCGGTGTAGTCGGGCTGTCCGGTTTACCGGCGGGTGCTCCACGCATCTCGTCTGGATGTGTAAAGTCTGCAGATGTTTCTCCAGCTGTGCGCGCAGGTCCTCCGACATCTTCACGTGAGACAGCAGCTCAAACGGACACAGGTGGACCCGGCAGGTAGCCGCTGAGGAGCAGCTCTTCTTCTTCTGCAGCTTATTTCCTGCAGCTGGCCGCTCGCTTCCTGTCACAGTGCCACCGTGTGACTGAGGAACAGAGCCAGCTACTCAAACTGAGCACGGGGTGCCCGCTCAGAGTGCAGGTTGTAATGGGGAAGGATCTGCGTGCAGCTCGAACTCTTTTAGAAAATGAAAATTATAAAACTGTTCGATTTGGGTCAAAGTAGCACCGACGGGTCAGAGAGACAATCACAGCGCCTCCGAGCGTCAACACAATTCCATTTAACCCGAAAATCTGAGTGCTGAGATTAAAATCCTACATGCACACATACGCACACAGACTCACACACAGATGCACACAGTTTCAGAGGTGATGAAGTACAAATACTTTGTTACATGAGTACTTAAGCGGACTTTTCAGTAGCCGTACTTTGTTTTTTACTCCTCACATTTTAAGTTCCGCGTCTCGACTTTATCATCCTTTCAGTTTAAGTCAGACTCGTTACTTCAGCTTTTTGCATAAGAAACATCCACATCAGGGATGGATGTGAACGATACAGAGGTATCAGAGGCCAAGGACGTAAGCCCGGCGAGCTCAATCGGTGGAGCATGAGATTCTTAATCTCAACGGCGTGGGTTTGAGCCCCACGTTGGGCGTTGACCTTTATTTACGAAATTTCCCACATGTGGGATTATGAGGAGTTTAAAATAAAAAACATGCAGGGAGCAGGAGCACATGACGTTTCAGAGGGCAGGACAATGAACACGAGACCCTGATGGTCAGAGGTGACCACACATCTGAACTTCCAGCAGCTCTGAGGGGTCCAGCTTTAGTATTCCTGACTTTGAACCCTGAACGCTTCACCTGTGTCTCCTCCGTTAGCTTCTCCATCAGCTCCTCCTGCTGTTTCCTGCGTCAGCAGCTGCTGGAGCAGAAGTCCTGATCTCCACATCACTTCCACCAGATGTTTCTTTACACACCGACGAAATATGTGACACACACACTCACGCTGCTCGTCCACCCATCAGTGCAAAGTGTGTTTATGTTCACTGTTTCTGCTCGACAGGAGGCGCACGCTTCATCATTCATCTTACGGTGACGTGTTTCCAAGGTTCATTCATCAACTCACAGTTCAAATCAAACATAAATGTGACCACACGTGAGGAGAAGGAGGACCATGGAGCGGCCCCACTTCAAATCCTCGTCTTTCACCTGAGCTGCAGATCCACGGTTTATGTTTAACTTGACTGAAGGCCTGTAGGAGGCGCCGTGGCTTAGCTGGATAAAGCGTCCCAGCAGCGTCCCCTCTGACGTGGTTGTGTTCTTCCAACTCCAGCCTCTGCATGTCCTCCTTCACACATTCATGAACCTCCTGTGAGGCCGTCCAGGTGTTTAAACTGTCCCACCTGGATGTGAGCATGCTGCTGCACAGCTGCTGCACAGCTTCATGAGCTCTGTTCATTAAGAATTAAAGGCAGTTTGTGTGTTTTGTGCGAGGCGTCACACCTGACACGCAGAGACACCATCCAGCGAGTCATCGTAGAGATTTTAACGCGAGGTTCCTGAGGCAGGCGGAGCTGCGACTGCCAGTACACATTCCCAGGTCTTTGGTTGGTCGCTCAGGTTCAGACTGAGTGAGGGGAGAGTCCTCCCACCTTAACTGTACATGTGGGTCAGGAGGCGATCTGAGGCTGATGCTTTCAGTGAGGCTGTAAAAGCAGCTGTGACCTCAGAGGGCAGATAATCTCAGACATTTAGAGCTCACATAAGCATGTGGACGTTTTTCATGTTTCAGAGGAAGCAATCTGTGAGTCATTATAGTTCCCATAAGAGGACGCACACTCGGAGGCTCACTGCCTGGAATCACTGCTCAGGTGTGAGCTTGACTCTTATTATTACGTATTGATGAGGCTTTTCCTGATGATGTCGACAGGTGTTTGATCCCCTCACTGTTTCCCCCTCTCCCTCCCTCTGTCTTGTCTTCCGTTTCCTGCTCAGTGTTAGTCCACATGTTTGCTCCTGGACTCTAACATCCACCCTACTGAGAGCGTGCACTCAGTGTCCTACATTCATCTCAGCATCCATCAGTTTAACTGTTGATTAAATGGATGCACACACACACACACACACACACACACACACACACACACACACACACTGAAAGCCTGTTGCACAATAACATGATTAATGACCAAGTCTAACTCACGACACGTAAACACTGAAGAGTCCACGCTGCTGCCCTGACAGCGCTGCATGTGCTGCTGCTGTTTCTGGGGAAGAAACTAAAAAGTGCAACACCAACAGAGTGCGCTCGGAGCTGCAAAGGAAGACGAGACAGGGGGAGGCAAGAGGGGGAAACGGTGAGGGAACTGGGAAGAAAGGCCAGCAGATCAAACACCTGTCGACATCATCTGACCTCTACAGCAGCCTCACAGCATACAGCACAGGCTACCTGACCTGGTGAGCTGAGCCAGCAGCCCATCATTAGAAGTCTTCTTATTCAATGCAAAGCTGCTCTTCAAAGGTGCAAAAACCACCAGCTGCTCCATCACCCTGGACGGGTGGAGCTGCTTCAGCTGCAGTGCTGCGGCTGGTTAAACAGCAGAGGCTGTGTTTGAATCTCAGCAGGGCCTGCTTCAGGAGAAACTCCACAGGTGCAGTTTTTACACTTGTTTCAGTTTCAGTCAGAAATTAATTAACTACAGCGCTGAAAATCAGAAGGTAAATGTCTTTATGACTGTAAATGTGCTGAGTATGAGCTGATGTAAAGGTTTACATCAGCTCATACTCACAGTTCTTATGAAGGAGGAAATTATCTACGGAGACCAAACAGTTTGTCTGTACACATGGGACTGACTCACCGCTGCCTCTGCTGGACAGTAGTGGAACTGTACATTTCACAGTAATGTACGTTACTGTGAGCTGATGCTGTCTGAGGTCATTTTCTGTCCTTTTATAGACGTTTCACAGCCGTATGTCGCACATTGCATCCCTTTGAAGTCGTTCTGTTCCTTTGTAATAGTTCATTATATCTTTGTGCTCATCTATCTGCACTTCAGGGCGGTTTTGCATCCTTGTGCAGGAATTTCACACTCCTATAGAGTCATGCTGCATCCTTTTTGTCATTTTAAGTCTCTTTGCAGCTCTTTTCTAATCCTTCTGCACCTCTTTGATGTTGTTGTCCATCCCTTTGTACTCATAAAGAAACATTTTTAGTCATTTTGAGCCCCTCTGTAGGCATTAAGCATCACTTGGTGGATATTTTGCACCTTTTTAAAAAGCTTTCTGCTTGAGTCATTTCTCATTGCTTTGCAGTCATCTTCACTCCCACCACACACTGTGCTTTTCTTTTAGCCATTTAGTGTCCCTGTGGTTTGTGAGATTTGTCATCATTTAGCCCCACTTTGTGTCTTTGTGTTTTTTAATAATCGTGCTGTGATTTGACGCCTTCTCTTTCGGTTCTTGATTGTAACTCAGTGCGAGTCAAAGTGAAAGTAAGGTCATGACCCTGAACTCATGTGCTGTCATCTGTCTTGCACTTTTGTGTTCTTTGGGCCAGAAATGTGCTCTAATGTGCCGCTTGGTCTTAAACACCAACATCCTGCACTCATGTTTGTTAGTTTGAGGTGTGAAACTTGTCTTCAGGAGACGTATCGAAGCTCCGGCTGAGAAACATCTGCTCCTTTCCGCAGTTCATCCTGCAGCACGTGCCGTCCTTTCAAGAACCTCCAACAGTCGCTCACGTCTTCGCTGACCTCACTGAGGAAGCACTCAGAGCTCATTCACAGCCGAACCTCGCGGCTGCTGCCAGCGGTTCCAGCTGTGAACCTCTGCCCTCTTCCTGGTTTCCTAGTGTTTTGCATATTTGTCACACTTACATGTTCAGATCATTAAACTAATTTTAATATTGGACAAAACTCCCTTTTAACAGGTTTTGATGCAACCACTTACAAAATCTGTGGCTGCGTGGAAGCAGGAAGTTGGAAGTGCAGGACTCTGGAGACGGATTATTGTTGGACGACACAAACTCAGAAGGCGATGCAAAACAAAGGCACAGCCAGAAGTTTGAAGCAGGACGCAAAAGACACAGAGAACACGGCGTGAGGAGGATACGGCAACAACACGACAACAACCAAAGGAAAAGTTCAATACCTGTGTGAGGTGAACGAACCAAACCGAGGCGGACGAACAAGTGAATAAACGTGGAGACGAGACAGGTAACAGACAGAGGTGGGACAGGCACAGGCAGGGATCACACAAGAAAACTCAATAATGCAAAACGAAGATACCTGAAATATAAACAGACTGCAGAGAAAACTGTCGTAGGAAACCAGGGACCAGGTTCATGTTCAGCAGTGAGGCAGGAAACATAAAGGGAAACAATGTCAGCAACAGCTGAGACCACCACTCAGAACAAAACTTTAAATGTTAGACACAAATAGAAAAAACAGGAAACACTGGGATTTAAAGCCAGCCATCCCGACCCGTAAACGTGTTTTTGTCACGGCTGTCACGCGTTCTGGTCAGGGTCAGTTTATTTACAAAAGGGTGAACCACAGTGCAGTATATGTGTACAGAGAGAAGGGGTCCAGGGGGGAAGAGGTAATCCACACACTCTCCTCTTTAGCCACTCTCGTCCTGATCTCCACTCACGCAGCCACACACAGGAATCACAGGGAAGGGTCCGTCAACAGGTCCGGGAAACTCTATGCACAGAACACAGGTTAGTCTAACAGGCGAAGACAGCTTTGAGCACGAACACGGGAGGGTCAGCGTTCCAGAGACGATAACCAGCTCCGCCCAGGGAGAGAGGAGAAAGGAGGAGAGAGAGAAACATAAAGAAAACCTTTAGCCATCACGAGCCAGCCGGAGAGGACGGGGACCATGACAGTGTTTTAGTTGTTTCACAGAGCGCACGGAGCAGGAAGTGACACAGGAAGTGATCAGCTGATTTCTCACTAACACTCCTCCTGACTCTGTTTGCACGTGCTCCAAATTTTAGAAACAGCTGAGTGAGAACAACCGTTTATTCTGCCACGCGTTGGATGTCTTGTGAAAACTTGCTAACACTTTATAACACGACTGAGAGCTGTAATTACGTTCAGTTTCATCTACATACAGGAAAAAACAATAATGTGAGGAGAGCTGGAGAAGGTTCGTGTCCTCCGCCTGCAGGGTTAAATACGACACGCCGTCTTATTTAACCCTGCAGGCGGAGGACACCGGAAACAGGACAGGGGGAAGCTTCACCTCCAATACTGAGCAGGAAGCAGCAACTGATCGTTCCTGCACGACCGAGCCTGAGTCTTTATGCTTCCATTACTATGTGAAAATGGACCAAACCAGCTGTTATCCACAGACACTCCACTTTCATCTTTAGATTGAAAAAAGACACCTGAACCGTTCCTTTGGATGGATTTAAGCGCCGTCCGCTTCCAGAGAACGGAGACAGAGTAATATTCAGACAAAAATACAACAAGAAGGAAGAACAAGCTGCAGCCTGGGCTCAGACACAGGTGAACCTGACGAGGACATCCACAGAAAAGGAGACGCTCAGAAGCAGGAAGTAAAACCATGACCAGACAAATGGAGAAGGAAGTTTGACAGGAAGTGGATAAAAGACAAATGAGTAAACAGAAAGACAGAAGAAAATAAGAGTAAAATCTGACGGTGACAGGAAATCTCTCCACTCTGATGAAACCAGCCTGACCTCTGCTGTCCTCTCATTGTGTCTCCAGTCCTTGCTAAGCTGCAGCAGGCCAGCAGATAATCAGCGTAATGACTTTTCATCAGAGCGCTGACCTGAAGACCCACATTTCCCCCCGCGGGGGAGGCATTCCTGCCCCGTTATAAGTACGAGTACCTGCGATCAGCCTCGTCTGCAGATCGTCAGCTGGTTCTGAGCGTCTCCCTGACACGATGTGAACGTCTGTGGAGCTTTCTGTGTTGGCAGCTGCCTGGAGAAACGTGGAAGTGCGTGGACGCTGAAGCAGAAGATCTCCTCTCGGCTCTGGGCGTTCGAAGCTTAGCGCTCAGCTCGTCCAGCTTCTTCGTGCTTCCAGGTACAGAGAGGTCAGTCCCAGGTGTTCTGCATGTTCACAGCTCACATGGACATTTTTCTGCTTGTTTGGCTCTTGTTTGCTGGCTTTGTGCATCTTTGTTTGACACTGTCAGAAACAAAAGCAGAGAAAACTGAAGTGATTCAATGATCACTGTTAAGTTCGTCCAGCTGACGTTCTCGACCTGATCCTGCTGTGAGGTTAACACTGAACACGGGAACGAGGACAGATTTGTTTCCATGTTGCAAAAGGTCATTTCTGATGTTTCTAATAGTTTTAGCTGTTTTATCTTTGTTTGTATTGAAAGACTGTAGTGATTTACAAACAGGTTATAGAGAAATCAAAGACATTACCTTCCTGTGAGTATCTTGTGTTATCGCACCTACATTATAAAACCATCTATAGAACCATTATCTTACATTTGTTGCCATATATACTGTTCTGATACATTATTGGCCAGCTCAGTCTCAAAGCAGACGTTGTTAATGTCAGTGACACTTTTAGAATAAAGGATCGTAAAAGCCACTTAACCAGGAACTGACCGTAGCTTCTACGTTGTGACAGGAATGATGTTTGTGGCTCAGGATGACTTGATGAGAGATGCATTTGACAAACGTCTATAAAACACTGAATAATTACAGGAAGGCTGTTTTTATAGGTTTAACTCACTCAAATGCAACATTTGAATGAACAGTTGAAAACAGCTGGAAACTGAGTTTTAGGTGCTTTGTAAAAATAATTCAAATATAATGAATTGTTCAGGTTTTGCTGACATTTAGCTTCGAAGTGTCTGTGCACGAAACACGAGTAATGTGAAAGTCTGCAGAGCCTTTAAAGGTGTGATGAGTTTGGAGGAAGATAAAACCTTTAAATGTTTCCAGTAAGCTGTGTTGGAGCTGCTTTGGTGGTCTGTGTGAGGTCAGACGCTCTCAGGTTGACTTTCGCCTCCCACACAGTTTCTTTTCATTCTTGTCTTCACGGTCTGAGGTTAGAGTCCAGCCTCTGATTAACACTAATGTGCTGCTCCAGAGGAAGAAAGCCTTTCACCTCTCAGACCGTTTCTTTGAATATGCATTACATTTCATTTCAAATGTTTTTCTCCACGAGTCCTTATCACCTTGGTTACTGTTGCTATACGACTGCCAAGCTTCCCATCGTCAGACATGCTCACTGTGATGTGTTGGTGTCAGTGTTGAACAACGTGGACATTAAAGCTGACAGCCCAGAGTGTGACGCCGTGTTTCACACACACTGGATACACTGACACCAGTGACACCAGTGACACCAGTAACACAGGAGTGAAGGCTGGGGTTTTACAGACCTACAGACTGCACATTAGCTTTGGACCTCTGTGTTTCCCACAGTGACCGAATATAAGTAACGAAGGTCCAGATGTCTTTGTTGGTGTGCAGCAGCATCGTCCTGCATGGCGTCCTGTCCGCGGGCGCAGAACCAGACTGTCTGTTTTCTGTCAGTTGTTAACGCTTCATTTTATTCTGATATAACTGACGAACGGATCAAAAGTCCACCGACATCATCACAAACCTCATTCTGATGAAAACTGAAGATCAGACTTGGAAACTTGTGGCTGAGCAGCGACAGCAGCAGGTCCGTGGTTTGATCCCGGCTCCTCAGGTCTGCACACTGAACCCTAAAAACAGAGCAGCCATGCTGTCCTTAAACAGCTCGAGCTAGGCCACGCCCCTAATATTGAAAACATGAACACAGTAGGTGTGTCCCTTTGGAGGACCCGGCCTTTGCGGTCTACGTGGGCCGGGTTTCTTCGAAGACCGAGAAGGCCGGAAGTGTGAGGTTGTGAAATGTGATGGTCTAGCCTTCAGATCTGCGTCACCGCTGTCTCGGTGGAGTTTAATAAACTCGCCGTCTGCTCCTTGCTATCTAAAATATAACAGGACACTGGAGTAAACTCTTGACCGTCTCACACTTCTGTTTAATCAGTTTTCTGTTTGACGTTTATTCAGCTGTGTGAAAACAAAGGAGGAACCCACCCGATGGATTAATAAAGTTTTATTTTATCTAATAATCTAATAACTTTGATCTCAGCCAAACCGATTTACTCCGGAACAAATAAAACACTGAAAAAAGCCAAACAATAACATTTTTAAGTTATCCGAGTGACTCATATATCATGTTTAAGCTGAGTAGCGACAGACAGCGGGGGTCTGAAAACGATGAAGCCGGCTCTAGTGACCATTGAACCCCTGGGTCAGCTGTGGAGCTGGTGGGTAACAGACGTCGCCGAAAACGTCAAAGTACTTTTGCAAATATGTGGTGTCTTGATAAACTGAGCAGATATTTGATGTTTACACAGCTACATTCTCGCCTGGAAATATGTTAAACGTTTATTTTGTGACCCAGAAAGAATAATAAGAGTAATATTAAAACTAAGCATCTGCCGCCATTGTTGGAAACCAGAATTGGCTGGGCCGCGCTATGAATTCTGGGACATGGTGGGCCACGAAGGACACACCGACCCATTCTTCAAATCCGGGGAAATGAAGGACGCATTTGAAGGAGTCGACGAATTGGGACAGCCTTCGTCGCCTGGCTGTGACGTAATTGGCCTACAAATGCGTCCTCCGAAGGATGCAGCCGACGTCTTGGCGGCACAGCTAGTGTAAACAGGTGAGTGATGGAATCCAGGTGTTAGGAAGTAGGCGTGATCTCTGAGCACAGACTCACTGCTGCCTCTGGCGGATGTTAGAGGAACTGCGGCTTTTTTCTCACAGAGAGAATAAAACTAAACCGTATAATGCTGATCACGTGTTGCTGTTTGTGGCTCCTCTCTCTCCCACCTGTCACACCTGCAGTCAGACCTCCATGAACTAACCCTCCCCTCTCTCCCCTTGTGCTTGCAGTCCGCGAGCGGAGCAGAGAGCAGTTCAGAGCATGCGCTCGGCGCGGCAGAGCATCATCTCCTGCAGCGACCGTGAGGCGAACTGTACGGCCGCGCGCCACCCGGACACCCTGGAGCTGTCAGGATCCTCCGCGTGGAGCTCCAACGACTCGGCCGTTGACGCGCTCCAGCTCAAGGAGCTCCAACTGCCGGCTGCGGCCGCTACGACCGTAAGTCTCCCTCTAAATCCTCTGATTTCTCTGATTCCTCTGATCGCAGGATCCAAACACACCTGAGCAGCTTCCACCTGCCAGAGCGCGTTTTGATCCACTCGGCGGTTCTTCGGTGGTTTTACGCACGGCTCTTGCGGCGCGGGAGAGCGGAGAGCTTTGTTTAAACACAAAGAAAATTCTGTGAAGTGTGACAAACCGAGCAGTGAGTCAGACAGAGTCGGTACCGGTACCTGCGGTTTAAATCTAGTGCTGAAAACTCAAATCTCACATTCATAGTTTGAGGTTCGCTTCGTCGGTGTCCTCGGGGCTTTAAAGTGCAGCTGATCATTAATCTGACAACTAACTGATCAGCCTCATATCATGAGCTCATTAAAGTATTAATTAAATTATTGATCGGGAAAAGTGACTTAATTCAGAGTGACAGCAGCAGAAATCAGAGAGCGGCGGTCTGAGTGCATCCAGGTTTACTGCAGGCTCTGTGTGTCTGTATGAACCCAACAGCGCTTAGCAAAGAACATCTGTACAGCTGTGAGCCCAGCATGCTTTCTAGTTAAACTGAAGTTAAACACATGCTGACACACACACACACACACACACACTGAGGCTGCGGAACAGGCTGCGGGCGGCTCAGGTGATTGGTGGCGTGCTGAGAACAGCATGTGAGGCTGCTGTGTGTCCACACACTGATTTCAGGCTGATGTGAGGTGTGGCGCTCTCAGAGCTGCTGTTGTCAGTGGCGGAGTCGGCGTTCTTCTTTCTGATGTTCTGCTGGCAGGTTGGTGTTTACTGCAGGTTGTGGTTCACATGCTGTCTTCCCTCGCAGCGGTTCAGCTGCTTCAGACCAGCTGGGTGACGGGAGGTGGAGGCGGTTTTTCTCTTCTTCAGTGCATAGTCAGTGTCATGGGACCTAATCATAGTGGTGGGTTTCCAGCAGCTGGCTCTGGCCTTCTCTCGTCCTTTTCCTTCCCCCCTCTGCTCCAGGTTTTCTTCCTGGCTGGACATGAATCACCTGAACCTGAGAGCTCTCCACAGCAGATCACCTGCCTCCACCTCCTCCTATCCCAGCATGCTCCTCTGTCACCTCTCCTTCACTGTACCCATGAACCACCTCTGAGCTCTTCCTCTTCTCCTCCTGCCTGCAGCTCCATCTTCACCCTCCACCCTCCCTCCTTTGCACATGCTCAGACCTTCTCAGCCTTTGTGACTCTGATTTGTCAGTCTGATGGACTCATCTCCATCTTGCTCACTGAACATCTGAACACCTCAGCTCCAAAGCCAAAGAAAAAAGCCAAGAAAAAATGGTCAAGTCCTTCATGAGCCAGCAGATCTCCACACGAACCTTTCAGGGCTGGAAAGATGTAAGAAAAAGGTTTGCTGATAGGCGGTCGTTTCCACATGTATACAGCGAGCTGCAGTTACTGCAGAGAATGAGAGGCGTGGATGACACATGCAGTTATTTTATGAGGTTTTTGCTCTGATCTTTTCTAGCTGGCATATCGTTGTCAGGTGATGCTTGAAACTGAGACGCTGATCCAGGATGAAGCTTTGGATAATGCTGCAGGTCAGTCAGGTGATCCAGGAACTGCTCAGACAAAAGCAACAGTCCTAAAAGTGAAAGTGTGATCATAGTGGACTGTGTCACAGTCCACACTACACTACACACTCAGTACAGCACCTCACTGTGCCGTGCAGGGGTACTTTGGTATTGTGTCCTTTGCAGGAGGTGCTTGGAGTTGTGCTGCTGTGGTTTACAGTCTCCAACCTCTGGTGGCAGGACGCCGACCGTCAGGGGCAGATTCCAACCCGAAGCCTTCAGAGGAGAGTTAACACTCCTGCAGCTGTGAAGCCTTTAGTTAGTTTACCCTTTTTGGCCCTCCATAAAGTTTACATGGTTGCTTTGGGCCAGTATGAGCCGTCGGGGGAGCGCTGGGGGGGCGTGCTGGGGCACGCTCGTGTAGATCGAATCTGTGCCTCGCCTGCTAACAGTCTGTATTCAGTGACTTGGGATGGCGGCATTTAGACGACACTTGTTTTTAAAGTCAGAACATTTTGTCCTTCCTGCTCTGGCTGTCATTGGTTGAGTCTGGGCGTGATGTTCGAGGAAGTCTGTATCACTGCAGGAAATCTCAGTCCAGTAAATGGTTCTGTGAGAGCCCCGCATTTATAAACGACGGCGCTGCAGGAGGTCAGCTGACGCGCGCAGGAGGCTGGGAGCACTTCCCGTGACCAGCAGGCACACAAATGTAGGTTAATGTGACACGTTCACACTGCTGTTGTTTGCAATTTGGCATTTTGATGACATTTACATGTGATCTTTAACGGTTTTATCACACAGCAGCATCTCCCAGAAACAACGTTGTTATAAACACAGACTGTAGATAGCAAATGGCCACACAGTGCTGTAAGTTCAGCGTTTTGTTGCCACGATGTCGTTTTATTATGAGGTAAAAACATCTGGACGAGAGTCAGCCTTGTTTTCAGTCCCAGCTGCAGACAGATGCTGGACCCCAGACTTCCCCTGAAGGCTCTGATTGGGAGGCGGAGCCCTGCAGGCGTTACGGCGGGAGGCACACGCCAGCGCCTCAAGCTGCTCCTCTGTCTTGTGTTTTCATTTGGGACCAGCGTGCAGACACATTGCTGGCTGATAACCTTTGGTGATATTTAAGGGGGCGCTTTGGGCCACGTGTGAGTCAGAGCACGGCTTAGAGCAACCAAGCAAAGGTCAAAGGTCAGTGCTACTGCTGCTGCTGCAGCTGATCAGAAATAAGCAGAGCTGAATCTGTGCCGGCTTGGTCCGAGTCTGCTGAGCTCGGTGATTGGTGCATTTCTAAGCTGATGGTGATTGATGAGTAAACAAGGTTAACGTCAATTTTTTTAGTTCTTCTAGGAAAATCCTTTCCGTGGAAATCAATCCACAAAGAGCTGAAAATGCAACATAGTGTGCGTCTAATCTGCCGTTCACCATCACAGGTTTATCTGCTGATCCTCCCGGGGATTAACCTCCTGAGGCGCGAGGTGCTGACCCTCAAAACACGTCAGTGTCCTATTTTCCTCGATTACCCACAAACCAGCCCAAGTTCCACCGAGTGAGTCATCGATTTTAGGAGAGGAGACTGGAAATGTTTTCGAGGATCATTCTCCTTCCACGCAGTCCCGACTTTCACTTTGTTTTAAACTTCATGTAAATATTTGCTGGTGTCACTGACTCATTAATTATCAATGAAATCAGACTCTTTAATGTCCACGGTTTGAACGTCGTCTCCCACAGAGCATCACATTTCTGAGCTCTGAGAAGCAAACGATTAAAGTGAAAATCAGACATTTGTATAAAATCACGAGTACATTTAAGGATGCGGCTAGTTGAGACGGTTTCCTTTGAAACCACAGAGGTCATGAGATATGCTCAAAGCTCAGTTTTAAAGCTCTTCTCTTCTGGCTGAAAGTCTTACGTCTCACATGCCAGAGGATCTTGGTGTCATAATCAAAATCCAGGTGAGGAAGTGGTTCCTTACCTGTGGAGTATTAAATCCCGTTCTTTTATATTCTTTACGGCCAAAAAAGACACGGCTCAAAGTGGTCTTTTACTTAAAAAATGATCTTTAATTTTACATATCCCGGAATATGGAGACCTGAACACACGAACACACAAGCCCAGGTCTCAAGCAAATAAAAGGAAGCCAGGTTATTTATGTACTTCTCGACGTCACACCACACTTTAGGTTTCGATCAAACAGCCTAGTTGGTTTCACTTTCTGGCTGCAGTTACCATGCTTCTGCAAAAGCGGAGGGTCTCAGAGTGGAGCCGCTGCTCCATAACTGAAAGGCACCTATAAAGATACCAGTATACACTGCGTCACCGACCACCGAGCCTCTTTATCCTCCTGACTTCGGCTCTTCTGTCTGATTTTGTAGCTTTGAAGGACCAAATGAACCGGATTAGCATAAGCAGCAGCAGAGCCGAGATCAGAGAGTTGATCTTGGACCTTTGAAGCGATTCTCCAGGCATTAAACACTACCATCCTCCTTCTGGGCTCTGCTCTGAAGCTGAAGGAAAAGGTCTCAGCTCATTTCTTAGATTTCTGAGAGCTCCGCGGCTGGACGGAGAGGATCTGAAGCTGGATGCTTGTGTGCTTTGTGGCTGGTGTAGCAGCACTAACGTGGCTGCAGACATGTGATGTTGTTTGGCAGGTAGACAAAGCAAATGAAGAGTTTTTGTGGCCCAGAGGGTTCGTTTTGCAAAGCTCCATCAGAAGCTGAAGTCATGTGGAGCTGAAGCCTGCCATCGGATCTGTGCCTCTGTGTGACGTCTGTCTGCACTGTCGTCATATATTTTCATCCTTTGTGTGCACAGTAGACTTATAGTCAAGACCGCCTAAACCAAGACCAAGACAGCACCAAGACAGACCGAATCAAGACCAAGACCAAGTCGAGACAAGAAAGTCTTTAAACTGCAGGTTTACGGGTGTCGGGCATATTTATGTGTTTTTGCGATGCACTCGCACAGCCCTCCTCACCGCTGTCTACTGTCTCACTCACTTACTGAGAGGACAGATGCACGCTCTCATGCTCTCTGTTTTTCACGTAATGATATTATCCTATATCCTCGCATGTCATTGGCCACAATATGGAGGGATTGGAGCATAGCTGAGCCGCTGTGTGAGAGCCGGAGTCGACTCTTCTGATTCACTGCAAAGCATTCTGTAAGCACGGCTCTCAGAGCTGATGCTTCTGCGCACGACACATTATCGAACGTTACGTTGTGTGTCATGGATACTGTTGACTCTAAATCTCCCGACCTCTATGTCGATCTGAGACAGCGAGACCGAGACAAGACCAAAGTCCGTCGAGACCGAGACCGGTCTTGAGACATCTCTAGTGCACAGTTTAATTCTTCTACCATCTCCAAGGAAACAGGAGACGTCCGATGAACCGTTATCCTCAGAGTCTATTTGCTGTGAGAGAAAAAAAAGCAACGTCTCTACTAATTGAAATGTTCG